TAGCCTATACTGCCGCGCCAATGGCCGCGGCAGTATAGACTGCAGCGGCCAAAGAACAGTTATTTGGTCAATTGTTTCGCCTCCATTTTAACTGTTATGCACTCCTACCCCTATAAATACCTCACTAGACACGAAATAAAGGGGAGGGGGCAGAGAGGGGCAGATTAGAGCAGAAAAGGCTTGAGCTTTTGGTGAATTAGAGCAAGAGAGTGATTCTTCCTTCTTCACAAACATCCTCAAGAAGCTTTGGACGATTTCTAGAGATCTAAGCTCAGACTTGATTTTTGGAAGAGTGAACATCTTACATCGATAAACGAATGAAGAATTCCCAAAACCTTCACGATTCAATCAGAATCTGTGATTTGGTGGTCCACGGGCTAACACACCCCCGACACAGGCAAAGATCCCACCAAGCAGTGATCCAAACAACGATCCTGTGTTTGTTTCTAAAAAGTTGTAATCTTCCTTTTGTTGTGTAAAAGAAGTCTTATAAAAAGGCTATCTCTTTTGAATTTGTTGTAATCGACCGAAGATATAATGAATTCCACAACGAGACTAACTTTTGACGCAAACAAACTGGCGACCACAGTGGGAGCCAACGGTCTCGCTGTCGAGACCGTCGTGTCACAGCCAACCATCAAGATCCTGGTTGAATCAACGGTCGAGTTCGACCAAGCGAAGTTTGAGGAGTATTTATCATCCTCATCTGAAAAGTCTTCCTCGCCTTGCAAATGCAGTAAGATTTCATCTTTGTTGAAGTTGTCAAACACTACAGATGAAGACTATCGCTTAATTGTTGCTGAGGATTCTACTCGCAACCTCTCTGCTCATAATGACTCTTCTCCAATTAAGGAGTCATTAAATCAAAGCCCGCCGGTATTGACGAAAAGAGCTCGTCAGAGACAACGCCAACGCCGCGCTCGTCAAATGGCTAAGGCCTTAGAACAAACCGACGGGGTTCGTTATTACGCGGACTTAGAGTCGAGGAGGCATCGAGTGGTTCAGTTGTCTCAACGACCAATCACTCATGTCTCTGCTAAACTCACGGCGGAGGAATAGACTATTGTCAAGAGGGCTCGTTCGACCCTCAAAGAACGTATACAAAAACGTCGTACAAACGCTGCTCATGCTCGTGCTCTCTTGCAACAAAGACGAGAAAGAAACAGGGAGACGGTGGTCAAAGAACCGCCAAAATTCTGCAAAGTTTAGTTGTGCAAAATCAGCATTCGGAGCCCGTTAAGACTCCATACCCGCAAGGGGGTAGTTCTAAATGTGCGACTCCTGATATAACATTGGATCGCTCAAAGACAATAATAAATCGTCCTGAGAATGCCAACAAGGTTTTACACCCCCAGAAGAAGACGCATTCACCAAAAGACATCGTCATACCTGGGAGGTCATGCCAACAGAAGATATGATTTTTTGGCAATCATACCGATGAATCGTATTATCAAGTTGGAGGTGTGAATAAATTTCGAAAGAGAATTATTCGTTCTCATTGTTCCTGTGCGCGACTCATTAGAACAGTCCATCCCACGAAGAGCCTCGGTATTCTACAGTCTTTTCACCAAAATGTCGAAGCCTAAGCCGAGACATTTTCGCAAGAGAAGATCAGCTGTCCAAGATGACGAATTCCCTGAAGTCACCATCAACATGGCTGATAAAGGAAAATCTAAGCGGCATTCAAATGAATCAAATTCCGACTTTTCCCCAAGAGGAAAAGTCAATTCAAGAATTGCCCAACGGATGTCTCGACTCCAATTAGGAGCCATCAGACGCAGATATTACAAGAGAATGCAAGAAGGAATGTCCTCGGAGGATGAATTCTCAGACGCTTGTTCTGCAATCGCTTCTGATGATACAATGTCTAGCACGGGACAAATCAGAGAAGTATTCACGATCACTTCTAATCAGTTTGCTCAAATGCTTCAAGAAGCTCTAGCGAAGCAACGTGAAGAAATTAGAGCTGAGATGAGGACAAAGATGGAGTTAGCTATTCAACAAATGAGAGAATTGCTAACTCGACAACCTCAACCTCTTGAGTCCAGTCAGCAAGCTGAATCCAGCCGCCACACTCAGAATGTTGTAGATGACAGTGATCCAGAAGTGGATGAAGTCATTATGGCTGATACACCTCCCAATGACAATAACACTGGGGGTGGTTCAACAGATCCTCCCAATAACAATATTGGGGGTGATTCAATTGCACCGCTTAATAACACTGGGGGTGGCCTAATTATTTCTGCTCAACATCACTCAGAAAGAGATGAAGATGAGGACAAGAAAATGAAAGAGCTTGAAAACAAAATCAACGCTTTGATGACAGCTCAAGAAGTGAAAAAGACGGGTATTCCATGTTCCTATCCAAGAGAATGAGATTCAATACCGTACCCAGCAAAGTTCAATCTGATTAACTTCACACCGTTTGACGGGAAGAGCTCGCCTACTCAGCACTTGATTTATTTCAAGTCTCATTTGGGCATGATCTCTGGAAATGAGGCTTTAATGGTCCGGTCATTCATTAGCACCCTTCGTGGGCCCGCCTTCGATTGGTACCGACGTCTCAAGCCAGGGAGCATCAATTGCTGGAATAACATGGAAAGTTTGTTCCTCAGTAATTTCTTCGATGATGACACCGAAGTGTCAATCGGAACCCTTTTAGATGAGAAGCAAAAAGACGGAGAGCCAGTCGACGATTTTGTCAAGCGCTTCCGTGGCAAAGCAATGAATTGCAGAGATCCTGTTACAGAGGAGTTCATCCTGCAAACATGCCACAATAATCTCTCCATCGATGTCCTGGAAGTCTTGGGGGTCGTACCATCAAAAACTTGGAAAGATTTGAAAATACGCGGTGAACAAGCTGAACACTTTCTTAAAAGAAAGAAAGCTGCAACTCCAGTGGGTGCATGAGTATAAACTGTTTCCCCACACTCCAAAGAGTATATGAGTATAAACTGCTTCTCGGTCATCCAACTAAGTACAATGTTAAACCCGGTTTCGCAAAGGAAGCTGGGGGTGGATGATTTATGTAACGGGAAGTTCCTGGAGAATCTTATATTCTTAAGAATAACCCGAACATGCAACTGAGGATAACGTACTCCTCGTTACACCCAGTTTTACAAAGAAAGCTGGGGGTGGATGATTCATGTAACGGGAAGTTTCCGGAAGAATGTTAAATGTAATATTCTTAAGGATAACCCGATCATTACAAACAAAGTGATAAACACTACATCCCCACGGTGATTTCTGAATACTCCTATGTTGAGATGAGATTCGATCAATTCGTTGGATCAGTCTTCCCTCTCAAACTCCCATTTAGTCAAACCTTTAAATGGTTAGGTCCAAAGCCAAAATCCCCTCTCGATTCCTTCCATGAACGAGAGGTTCACAAATTGAGCGATCAAAACTTTAAACAGTTAGGATCGTCTAAAACTCCCACTTGGTCAAACCTTTAAACAGTTAGGACCAAAGCCAAAATCCCCTCTCGATTCCTTCCATGAACGAGAGGTCCACAAATTGAGCGATCAAAACTTTAAACAGTTAGGATCGTCTCAAACTCCATACTTGGTCAAACCTTTAAACAGTTAGGACCAAAGCCAAATTCCCCTCTCGATTCCTTCCATGAACGAGAGGTCCACAAATTAAGCGATCAAACCTTTAAACAGTTAGGATCGTCTAAAACTCCCACTTGGTCAAACCTTTAAACAGTTAGGACCAAAGCCAAAATCCCCTCTCGATTCCTTCCATGAACGAGAGGCCCACAAATTGAGCGATCAAACCTTTAAACAG